AATCAGGGCCATAAATATACATCATTGGTTAATTCAAAAGAAACAATCTGGTTTCTTTCTATCTTTAGATGCAGAGAAGGCTTTTGACAGACTAGCATGGGACTACATGGAGGCCATTTTGACTGGCCTTGGAATGCCTCCGTGTTTTCTGACATTTATCATGTCTCTATATACAAAGTGGTGCGAGTCAATGGTCTCCTTTTGGATTCCTTTTCTATAGGCAACGGGACCAGACAGGGATGTCCATTATCCCCTTTCCCTCCTATTTATTCTTACATTGGAACCTTTGTTGAATTGCATTTAAACAGAATGATAGCATCAAGGGGATTTTGATCAATGACAAAATTCATAAAATAGCAGCCTTTGCTTGACAACATATTACTTTTTCCTAACAGACCCACATATTACGTTACCTAATCTGCTACAAGATTTCAAATTGTTTTCAGTATTTGGCTAACTTTAAAATCAACTTTTCTAAATCTCAAGCCCTTAATGTCTCATTAACCCAAGATGTGATTAGACAAGCAAAATCAAATTTTCCTTTTACCTGGCAGTCTGAGGCCATCACTTATTTGGGAATCCAATTACAAACTCACCTTACGGACACACTCTATCGCTAAAAACTTCTTACCTCTCTTGCGTAGTATCACCAAAGACCTTCAGACGTGAAACAAACCTTTGTTCTCCTGGTTTGGGTAGAGCAGCTATCCTCAAGATGAATGTGCTCCCTACAATATTGTATCTACTGCAAACGATACCAATCAAATTACCGATTTCCTTCTTTAAATCATATAAAACGCTATGTACCTCTTTTCTTTGGTATAATAAACACCCGAGAGAATTAGCTTTGCCCAACTTACCATGCCCAAGAAGAGTGGAGGTATTGGATTACCTGATATTACCCGCTACTACAGGTCTTGTCACCTAGCAAGAATAGTAGAGTTCCGGGAACACCCTCTCATAGGCCCCACTTTATTCTGTTTGCCATCAGTTGATCCAGAAAAAAGAGCTCTCTTCCTCTCCGGGAGTACATCAACTTTTCAAAGATGATAAGTTCTTATCTAGAGACGACATTACAAAGAAATGGCCATCCCTGATCCTGACGCCGTGGGTGTATAGACAACTCCACCACTTTATACAGAGCTCCCCACATCTAAAAGACTATTCGAGGCCACTTACCCCATTTGAGAAACTTTGCTTTACAGACTTACCCCAGAGGGACATTTGATATCTAAGCTCTACTCCTATCTTGAAAACACCATTACATTTCAATCTCGAAAAGCCTGTAGGGCCTGGATGCTCGACCTACAACTTCAATTATCACCAGAGGACTGGGACCACATTTATGACCACATGCATAAAGGTTCTTATGTGTCTCTACGCAAGAAAGCAACTATAAATTATATTCCAGATGGTACAGAGTTCCGTCCATGCTTCATAAATTTGATCCTAACATTTCAGAGTTATGCTGGAGATGTCACCGGGCACCAGGTACGCTCCTACATATATGGTGGGATTGTCCACTGTTACAGCCTTTTTGGGGAAAGTTCGAGACATAATCGCACAAGTAGCTACATACACCCTAGACTTTTCCCGCGGCACAATTTTACTCCACCACTCCTCAATTCCTTTTAGGACTTATCAGAAGTCGCTTGCCTTGCATATGATAAATGCGCAAAACAGTGTATTCCTGTCCACTGGCGTTCAGAACATGTTCCCACTGTGCGAGAGTGGTTTCTTAGGGTCACCAGGATTGCGGAGATGGAGGAACTGATCTCAGTGGCAAGGGAACACCCCGAAAGATTCAGGAGGACTTGGGCTTGTTGGAATCATTTTTAAACTACTAATTAGAGATGAGCGAATTATTCAAAAATTCGATTCGGCTGATTCGCCGAATTTGTGGAATAAATTTGATTCGATGCGAATTTATTCGCTGCGAATTTAACTTATAAAAAGGGTTTCTAGGCTTCAGAGAGCCTTTATATTAGTGCAGAACACTGTACCTTTAATTTAAATGCCCTTGGAGTCTGCTGGGGAAGAGAAATAATACTGTCAGTCAGTATGACATGCAGATGAGTGCCGTCGATCTTAGAATCACCGCACACTTCACTCATTTGGGCAGTCACGGGGCCAAAACCAGAGTGTGGAGCCACAGTGTGGCGGTGGAGGCAGCAGCAATGGGAGGCCATACAGCATCCTATGACAAAAATGGAACCCACCAGCAGTGTGAGGAGACCTGAAAGTGGCACATGGCAGAGTGTGGCGATGGAGACAGCAGCAATGGGAGGCCGTACAGGGACCCATGAGACACTCTGGACCTGGCAGCAGCATGAGGAGGCGGTACAGGGGCCCGTGGCAAGAAGAAGAAGAAGAAGTAGGATGAAGAAGAAGAAGAAGAAGTAGGATGAGGATGAAAATGAAGAAGAAGAAGAAGAAGAAGAAGTAGGATGAGGATGAAGAAGAAGAAGTAGGATGAAGAAGAAGTAGGATGAAGAAGAAGTAGGATGAAGAAGAAGAAGAAGAAGTAGGATGAGGATGAAGAAGAAGAAGAAGTAGGATGAGGATGAGGATGAAGAAGAAGAAGTAGGATGAGGATGAAGAAGAAGAAGTAGGATGAGGATGAAGAAGAAGAAGTAGGATGAGGATGAAGAAGAAGAAGAAGAAGAAGTAGGATGAGGAAGAAGAAGAGGAAGAAGAAGAAGTAGGATGAGGATGAAGAAGAAGAAGAAGTAGGATGAGGATGAAGAAGAAGAAGAAGTAGGATGAGGATGAAGAAGAAGAGAGAAGAAGAAGTAGGATGAGGATGAAGAAGAAGTAGGATGAGGATGAAGAAGAGGAAGAAGAAGAAGAAGTAGGATGAGGATGAAGAAGAAGAAGAAGAAGTAGGATGAGATGAAGAAGAAGAAGTATGGATGAGATGATGAAGAAGAAGTAGGATGAAGAAGAAGAAGAAGTAGGATGAAGAAGAAGTAGGATGAAGAAGAAGAAGAAGTAGGATGAGGATGAAGAAGAAGTAGGATGAGGATGAAGAGTAGAAGATAGGATGAAGATGAAGAAGAAGAAGAAGGATGAGGATGAAGAAGAAGGATGAGGAAGAAGAAGAAGAAGAAGTAGGAGAGGAAGAAGAAGAAGAAGAAGAAGAAGAAGATGAGATGAAGAAGAGAAGTAAGAAGAAGAAGAAGAAGAAGAAGAAGAAGGAAGAAGAAGAGAAGTAGGAGAGAGAAGAAGAAGAAGAAGTAGGATGAGGAAGAGGAAGAAGAGAAGAAGAAGAAGTAGGATGAGGAAGAAGAAGAAGAGGAAGAAGAAGAAGATGAGGATGAAGAAGAAGAAGATGTAGGAAGAAGAAGAAGAAGTAGGAATAGGAGAAGAGGAAGAAGAAGAAGAAGAAGAAGAAGAAGAAGAAGAAGAAGAAGAAGAAGAAGAAGAAGAAGTAGGATGAGGATGAAGAAGAAGAAGAAGAAGAAGTAGGATGAGGATGAAGAAGAAGAAGAAGGATGAGGAAGAAGAAGAAGAAGAAGTAGGATGAGGATGAAGAAGAAGAAGAAGAAGAAGAAGGATGAGGATGAAGAAGAAGAAGGATGAGGATGAAGAAGAAGAAGTAGGATGAGGATGAAGAAGAAGAAGAAGAAGAAGAAGAAGAAGAAGAAGAAGAAGAAGAAGGATGAGGATGAAGAAGAAGTAGGATGAGGAAGAAGAAGAAGTAGGATGAGGATGAAGAAGAAGAAGAAGAAGAAGTAGGATGAAGGATGAAGAAGAAGTAGGATGAGATGAGGAGAAGAAGAAGAAGAAGATAGAGGAAGAAGAAGAAGTAGGATGAGGATGAAGAAGAAGAAGAAGAAGTAGGATGAGGATGAAGAAGAAGAAGAAGAAGAAGTAGGATGAGGATGAAGAAGAAAGAAGAAGTAGGATGAGGAAGAAGAAGAAGAAGAAGTAGGATGAGGATGAAGAAGAAGAAGAAGAAGTAGGATGAGGATGAAGAAGAAGAAGAAGTAGGATGAGGATGAAGAAGAAGAAGAAGTAGGATGAGGATGAAGAAGAAGAAGAAGTAGGATGAGGATGATGAAGAAGAAGAAGAAGTAGGATGAGGATGAAGAAGAAGAAGAAGAAGAAGTAGGATGAGGATGAAGAAGAAGAAGAAGGATGAGGATGAAGAAGAAGAAGGAGAAGAAGAAGAAGAAGAAGAAGAAGAAAGAAGAAGAAGAAGAAGAAGAAGAAGAAGAAGAAGTAGGATGAGGATGAAGAAGAAGAAGAAGAAGAAGAAGAAGAAAAGAAAGAAGAAGAAGAAGAAGAAGAAGAAGAAGAAGAAGTAGGATGAAGGATGAAGAAGAAGAAGAAGAAGGATGAGGGAGAAGAAGAAGAATAAGAAGAAGAAGAAGTAGGATGAGGATGAAGAAGAAGTAGGAGAAGAAGAAGAAGAAGTAGGATGAAGAAGAAGAAGAAGAAGTAGGATGAGGATGAGGATGAAGAAGAAGAAAAAGTAGGATGAGGATGAAGAAGAAGAAGAAGAAGAAGTAGGATGAGGATAATGAAGAAGAAGAAGAAGTAGGATGAGGATGAAGAAGAAGAAGAAGAAGAAGTAGGATGAGAAGAAGAAGAAGAAGTAGGATGAAGAAGAAAGAAGAAGAATTAGGATGAGGATGAGGATGAGGATGAAGAAGAAGAAGAAGAAGAGGAAGTAGGATGAGGAGGATGAGGATGAAGAAGAAGAAGTAGTAGGATGAGGATGAAGAAGAAGAAGAAGTAGGATGAGGATGAAGAAGAAGAAGAAGAAGTAGGATGAGGATGAAGAAGAAGAAGAAGAAGGATGAGGATGAAGAAGAAGAAGAAGTAGGATGAGGATGAAGAAGAAGAAGAAGTAGGATGAGGATGAAGAAGAAGAAGTAGGATGAGGATGATGAAGAAGAAGAAGAAGAAGAGTAGTAGGATGAGGATGAAGAAGAAGAAGAAGAAGAAGTAGGATGAGGATGAAGAAGAAGAAGAAGAAGAAGAAGAAGAAGAAGGATGAGGATGATGAAGAGAAGAAGAAGAAGAAGTAGGATGAGGATGAAAGAAGAAGAAGAAGAAGAAGAAGGATGAGGATGAAGAAGAGAAGAAGAAGAAGAAGAAGTAGGATGAGGATGAAGAAGAAGAAGAAGAAGTAGGATGAGGATGAAGAAGAATTCCAGTACAGCAAAAAGTGTATCTGCAGAGAGCTCCGCTATTTCTGACAGTTCTCTGACAGTTCCTTCACATTTACAGGGGTTGAAACATTGTATCTGTTTCCGAATAAAAACATCTGTATCCTAAATGGAAACAAATAGATACAATGTTTCAACTGCTGTAAATGTGAAGGAACTGTCAGAGAACTGTCAGAAATAGCGGAGCTCTCTGCAGGGACACTTTTTGCCGGCTGTAGAAGGGATGAAAATCGGCCGATCGGGGAAAATTCGATTCGCGCATCCGAAGTTTGCTAATATTCGGATTCGGCGCGAATCAAATTTTTCCTAATATTCGAAACGAATTCCACTTCGCCAGGTTCGATTCGCTCATCTCTACTACTAATACTTATCGTCTTTCAATGAATGAATGAGCTGAGATTTTATGGCGAGGAATACCTTTACCTCAGGAATTACTCCATGGATTGTGTCTAACTGGACTGTATCTTAAATTAGATGTAGAGACCTTGTTAGTTTGGCCAATTTCTAATGATGTGATTGGTTTAACTGCAATTACCTAATCATTAACCCCTTCGCCCCACCCCCCTCCTTTTTTTTTTTTTTCTCTCTTCCCCTCCCCTTTACAACGTTACTTTTCACATTTCTCTTCAATCGACGCTCCCTTCTCTTCTCTCTCTTCTCTTTAACTCACACCTGTCTCATATCTTAAATAATCATATTTTCCATAAGGAACAGAGCATCTATTCACATACAGGTGTGACTATTCTTTACAATAGTAACCTACATTTTCCGGATACGGACACATAGGGCATACATGCCTTCAGATGATATTTCAGCCTTGCGCTCCACTGTTCTGTTATCTGAGAACTCCCTACCCAGTGGATCATTGTTCATTATACTTAGCTAATTTTCCTATTATAATCATTATATCTACTGATTTTTATTATTCATTTGATATATTATGATATTTTTCCTCGAGATGTATCGCACTTCAAACAAACATCTTATGACCCGTCTGCGTTACGGGAGAACATGCAAGATGTCTATGCGTGGAATGTGATCCGTATCTGTATATGACTTGATATGCCTTTCATATTTCAATAAAATATGGTGGTGAGAGCCAGGGAAACTGATGCAAGGGTAGGGGTGAAAATGAGTGTTCAAGTGTCACCCAGTCCTTGAGAGGTTCATGGATTTACCAGTCCAGTATTCTGGCAAGTAAGCTGGCCCAATATTATTTTTGAAGGACTGGTAGACTTATACCACCTATGTTTTGGGAACCAAAGGCGAGATGCTTTGATTCTAGGTTGTTTGTCTTGCCAAAGGAAAGTGGAACAAGCATGTCTAAATGATGCAAAGAAAACTGAAGGCACCAGGATCAACACAGTTTTTATAATATAAAGTATTTTCAAGTCATTTTCAGGACTGATGTTCTGCCAAACCAGATGTTAAGTCTTGCCCATTGCTTCAAATCGTGCATTATGGCATCTTACTTTTTGATATTTTATTAAGTTTTAAATTTCAACATATTTCATACAGCAAAAATAAAAATTGTCATATCATTACATTTCAATATAAAAATAAAAATTACATCCTCCTATTTAAACCTTCCCCCAAAAAACCAACCCCCCCATCTCCTCAACCTTGTTGAGTGTCCTCAGGATTCCCTTCTTCCTCTTCCAATCTTACTTTCTTCTTTTAATTATACAGGACCTTTCATCTCCTTTTTCTCTATTTCTCTCATATTTGTTTGATCTCTTAAACTCATAAAATTGTTCCCACCTTTTTCGGAATCTCTCCATTTTATCTTCTTCCATATGGGAAAGTTCCTCCATTCTTTACATATAATCCACCCTTCCTATCCAGTATTTTAATTTTGGTACCTCTTGTTCCTTCCAAAATGTGGGCATCAGCTCTTTTGCTGCATTTATAAGATAGAATAACACCAAATTTTTACATTTTTCCACTGTAAGCTCACTTCTACGGAATAGGCATACCCCTGGATATTTCGGAATTCTAACCCCCCGCTATCTCCTGAATTTGGTGAATTATCCCCCCCCCCCCCAATATTTCTGAATTTTAGAACATTCCCACCAAATATTATTATTTATTATTATACAGTATTTATAAAGCGCCAATAGTTTGCTCAGCGCTGTACATTACAAAGGGGGACAGAACATGTGACAGAACAATACCAATACAATGCAAAACATGAAGGGATTGAGGGCCAAATATGTGCCATTGTGCCCTTAACCCCACATCCCAGCCAACACATAAGTGATTTATCTCCATATTGCATATGTCATAATATACCACCTAGCTAAACATTTATAATTCATTTCCACCACCTTCATGTCTACAGTCCCATGTGCTAATCTAAAAATTTTCTTTTTTTGTTGCTCATCTAATTATATTCCCAATTCCCTTTCCCATTTCTCCATATACAAAGGGGCAGTGACTTCTGTCATTATGGTACAGATTTCATAAATTCGGGAAGTCCCATGCATCCCATCTCTACGTGTGCTAAGTAATTGTTCAAATGGGTTCATATCAACTTTTGTCCTTAGAGACCTAGGAAGCTTTGCCACAAAGTGTCTTAGTTAAAAATATTGCCACTCATCTAATCTAGTAAACAACTCTTTCTTGTTTTTCAGCTCCTGAAAGGAACAGAATTCTTCCCCATTCATTATATCCTTTAACTGTGCATCTCCCTTTCTTATCCAATTACCTGAAATATTTTCATTCCCAGGTGGAAAGAAATCTGTAAACACCATCGGCATCAACATGGAGTTAAATTCCTATTCCATTTGTTTGTCAATTATATCACAAATTCTTAATACATTTCATGTATAAGTACTCATGCTTTCTGTCAACCTACGATATTGAGGTGGCAACCACACCATCCTACTCAATTGTGTCTCACTTAGTGTTTCTTCTATAATAAAGGAGGTGCGAGCGCCTTAAATAAAACAAAACAAAAAAGCTGCTGTGCACAAAAAGGTAACCAATAGCACCCTAAAACATAGATAATAAACAAGAAAGTGCAGCGCTAGAATAAATAAATGTCCAAATGACTCTGCATATATAATCGCTAAAACCACCAAATAAAATAATTCAATCTAAAATCAAAAATAGTAAAATCAGAAATTTTCAATGTAAACAATATATAAAGTGACTCTCGTGCTTAATGACTCTGGATCCGGTATCAGTGCAGTAGTGGTAAAGGTAATGCGCACTCACCGGACGTGCATATTTATTGTGCCTTATGTTAAAATGCAGATGTCATCAGACAGGTATTAAGTAGATGGACTTCCCTCTCAGAGATGGCGGGTCGTCAGATTAAATGTTATGGGGTTGGTAAAGATGGTCCTCGTCCTTTAGAGCTCCTTTACATTCAACTTGAAGTAACTCTCTGGATATGCACGTTATTCTCTTTTTTTTGTAGCTGCTGTTCTAATTGATATATATGTAAATCCCTAAAAAGCATATTCATTTTCTCTTTTCATTCCTTTATTTTCTTTAGCCCAATTGCTATCAAGACTCCACTGATACAGGCCTTATGGGCTTCCCACACCGTTGTCACTGAAACTCCTTCAGTCTCATTTCTTTCTAAATATTGTTCTATTTCTTTTATTATTCTCTGTTCCGTCTCATGATCCTATAGGAGTGTCTCGTTTAGTTTCCACATGTTTAACTTATTTTGCTCTCTTCCCCATTATAGCTTCATTGTGACAGGTGCATGGTCTGATATTGTTATGACTTCTATATTTACTTTAACCAGGGACTCCAAAAGTCTATGGTCCAACATTATGCAATCTAACCTCGAGTATGTCTCATGTGCCGGAGAGTAGAACGTATAATCCCTGTCTGTAGGATATTTAATTCTACAGACAAGTTGACATTCATACAACATTCTTTATATGGATGTTAGAGATGTACTTCCCTCTCTCTGCACAAGTGATGTTGCATCAATCTGAGGGTCCATGCAAAAAAGTCTCCTGGTTTCAGGGATGCCTCTTAGCCTAATATTGTGCTGGCAGCCTCTGTTGTCCAGATACTCAAGTTGGTGATGCACCTTGAGCAAGATAGAGGTGTGCATCTGAAATATGCTGGTCCTTTTTAATGGTGTTTGCATGCACTGAGGCAGTCTTCTCTACTTCCTCCAGCCAGGCAGCAACTGCCAGAATGTCAGTCCAGAGCTCATATATGGCCATGGAGAGGATAGACTTTATGTCAGTCGACACTTGCTGTAGATCTTGCAAGCTGAGAGGGTGGGTAGCCAGAGAAACCACAGGATCTCGCTCTCCTCCTGCACGGTCAGAGAAGCTGCTGGGTGACCACTTTGCTGTCGGCTCTGAGGTCACATGGTAGTAAGAGAACCGGGTTTGCATCAGAGCTTGGATGTTCCAACTAAGCGGTGTCCCTGTATCCCAAGGGGTCTGGGTTGCTGAGGCACTCCTACCAGATTTCACCATGGTTAGTGGAAGTTTGGGATCCCTGGAAGTGAATGAAGAACCACACTGTTCTAGAGTTGCAGAACTAAGCGGCCATCTTCGGTAGAGGTCAGACCACGTCCCCGTTTTTTTACCTTATGTTTAATCTCTCTTTATTGAGTATTTGCAGACATTACAGGTGCATGCATAAAGAACAGGTGAATAAACTCCTTCATAAACATATCAACCATATATGATAAGCACAATACGATATAGAACATTAAGAGAGAAAAATATATTGTTAACCTCCCTGGCGGTCTAACTAATCAATATTTTTGAATGTCAAAGCGGAACATTGTTTTGCATGGAAAGTTGCTGTTTTATATTGTAGGCCTGTAATTCTTAGGAATAACTCAGTTAAATCTGTCCAAACAAGAGTCTAATAAACATCCTGGGTATGATAAAGTTTGAAACACAAAATCATAAATTATAATATAATAAAGAATTCTAAAAAATAATAATATAATAAATTTAATTCAATAATGTAATCAAACGAAAACACTGAAATTTGAAATAGAGCACCAAGTTCGCACATCACTGAGCTCAGTCGAGCTAATCACTATCACTCAATTCTGCAAATGATTCTAATTCACTATCACTGTTTTCTAGCTGGTCTAAA